TACGCTCGTTTCCTGCGGTGACTGGCACACAGCGCAGCGCCGCACGCCCCGCTGAAAGCGAACTCCTTCCTGAAAGCTCCGTGCTCTGACCGCCCTGCGGCTCCCCCAGCAGGATTTCCTCTGGCGTGAGAAAAGCTGCGCTCTGCCCCTGCCGCATTTACGCCCTGAGCACAGAGGAGAAGATGGGAAGCGGCGCAGGAGCGGGAGAGCTGCCACAGGACGGGGCGATGCTGCCGGTGCTGGTGATCGCTGGGGAACGTAGCACCGAAGTCTGCAACCGTGCCTCAGCCTGGGAGGGGGGAAGGGGGACGTTTCATCCTGCTAAAAGTCGAAGTTACCTTTGTTCTCTGATTGGTCTTCAAAATATCTCCCTCCTGGGAAATTATTATAAATGAGAGACATACTCTGGTTACTACCTAAATGGCACCAGTGTATTAATATTTTAATTCTCTCAAGTAGGCTCGGTAAAATAAACAATGCCAAAACGTATTGCTCAGTGATGTGTAAAACAGAAAGTCTCTTCTCATTTGCTCAGAGCAGAAATGATCTTGTATTTAAGCTAGATAGCTTACTCTCAGAATGGCTGTGCAGAGTGCAGAATTTGTCTGTGTATCATCATGAATGGAGCTGAAATACTCTTGAATAATAGGAGTTGATCATAATAGAATAGGAAAAATGAGAGATGGGTGTCACAGCTTGGAGCACGCCGGGTACTGTGCAAACAGACTGAATGTGTCCAGCAGCAGCTGATGGCCATCATATGAGCTATGTGTCCTGTCAGAGGACCCTGCTCATGGCTTGGGCAGAGCAAGGATGAATGCACTGTTAAACTGCTGAGAGTGCTGCAAGAGGGCATGAGCAGAGGGACACTGGATGGACCCTGGCATGGGGAATGGAGATGCTCATTTCCAGGTGGACAATTCTGCTTTCTGTAAGAGACAAAGCAACGACACAGCCGATTTTGCTAACGTTATCATTATGGCTTTATCTAGAATTTGATCATCATTCTAGTGCTCACAGCGAAAACATCTGCTTTCTGATGCTTATAGAGAAAACAATCTGCTTTCTAGCAAATTCTGGCCTTTTTGGTTGAATTAGCACCCAGTAGGCTGTGATTAAATTTAGGGATATTCTTATGTTATTAAACAAAAGAAAATGTGACTAGGGAACACGAGTGCGTCGGTACGTGCTCTGTACCATCCTGCTCTGCAAGTACACTGAGTGCAGCCTGTGCTGCACTGAAATATCGGGATGGAAAGCTAGGAGTGGTGCAGCTGCAGAAGTGTGAGCAGGAGCTGCAGCTCAGTGCATGAAGGAGAAGCTCCTGTGCTCCTGTGCTCCTGTCCCCCTGCCCCCAGGATGCAAAGCTCTGCCTGGGCTGCAGCTGCTGCTCTGTGCGTGGTACAGAACCATGCAGCTGAATAATAATAACACAGGAAGAATGAAAGAAAGCTCAAGTGTAAGCTGGAGCTACCCAGGGGTTTTTCTAATTTATTTTCTGGCCTTACCTCTGGTTTTATGTGTCTCTTTCCTTTAAGCAGTCAATAAAAGCACTCCTTGCTATGGCAACTGCCTCCTCCATCATTTAGGCAGGCATAATGCACCATTCTATGGACACCCATGCCAATTAGCACTGAAAACGTGTACACACAAAGTATTTTAAAGCAGCAACTCTGTTACATTAGGGTTTTCCATTAACCTCTTTATTTTTAACCATCCCAAATGAGCACTAACGGTCAGTCTGCAGCTGGGCTGGGTGTGCTGGGCTATCTGCTGCCCTGGGAGGCACAGCAGCAGGGAATGGCCCATCTGCCCCTTGGTGTGCCTATATGCAGCCCTGCTCTGAGGTCCCAGCGGAGCACAGCCCTGAATCAGCTGCCAAAACTGCTTCCTTTAAGTTTTAGCTGCAGTGTGGGACGGAGCACATTTGCAAAACAGAGCTTGGGAGCCTGCGTAACTCACTGCTGTGGAAGGAGTTGTCGGGATGATGTATTGAAACGCAGCCATCTCCATGATGGCATGCCACGTATGTTTTTAAAAGCTATTTTTAAAATTAATAGTATTCCGTAATGCTGATAAAGTAGGAAGCATTTGTAATTTGTTGCACTCTTTCTAAACCTGCATTAGTCTGCTTTCCACCCGACTGAACTGTATTTTTTTATAGATACGGTGGTTTAAAATTTATTAATGGTGTAATAAAGGAACAAAACCTTTATTATTTAATGGGTCCATAATTTTAAGATGCTACATAAGGACCGCTGTGCCTTCTTTCCACCACTAATTAATGTCTGAATATTGATGTCAGTGCTCACTGCCACGTGAATGTTCACACTCATCTACCGGCTTCCTCCTCTCTGATGGGCAGCAGGGCTGTGCTCTTTGAACCTTAACAAGTCCTAGCTGCTTCATGGACCTCAAGGAGTGCAAACATTCATGGGGCATCCAAAGTTTGGTATTTAATTCTACCATGAAGGCTCCAGGGAACTGCGCTTTGCACCTCTCTGCCCCAGGATGGAACATGCCAGTACCTGGCCAGATTTCTGCTCCGGAGCTGCAGGAGCTGAGCTGGGCTCAGCACAGCCCTGCTCACAGTGCTGGGCCCCCTCACTGCTGCTGAGGTCCCCTCAGTTTGCCCCACAGGAGCAGGGCTGGTGGCTGCTTGGCCTGGCATCCACCTCACTGCTGTCAGCATCGCTCTGCATGGGGCCTTGATGGGGCTGGGCACAGACTGGGACATAAATATGCCCAAAAGTAACGATCAAAATTATTAATGTTGTTTTCCTAACCTTTTTAATGAGGTGAGACTCACTTCCATCAGCGCTGCCAGTGTTGGAATCTTTGATTTTATTTTTTTTCCAAAGAGCTTTAATTGAGCTAGGTATAAATAGCAGATCAGTAAACAAGGCCTTTCGGCTGTGTGAATCACGTCTGAAATATTCGCAAGCCCTCCGCAGCCTCTGATGGTGAGGAATGTGCTCATTAGGCCGGTCCAGATGCATTCTGCAGCCCGGTGAGAACCTGGCTGCTCCAGGAGATAAATCACTGCAGCAGCAACGCGCCCATCCTCAGTGCTGTGCTGCAGGTCTGCCTGGCCTCCAGATCCACCCAGATACACACAAAGGGGTTTTTGACACAAGAACTGAAGGGACCCGTGCTATGTCACCCCATTTAATTTACACTCGACTGCTGACTCCAGAGGGACTCCAACAAATCCCATAAACAAGGCTGTGCTGAAAGCAAAATGGGCACTGAAGAAAACCAGCAGTTCTTACTCTGGGTTTACTTACTTGGTAATTTCTCAACTGAGCGCTCATGTGAGAAATATCTCTACCAAATCTTGGCTTGTAATGGAGGATGGTCCCCATCTTCTTTGGGAAAGCACTTTGTTTTCCTTTGGTGATCCCTGTGGCATTAATTACATACGTTTAAGTGAATGTAGAAGTGTTTGCAGCATTGGAAACTCTATTTCTAAAATCAAACTAGGCATAAAACCCTTCGTATACGTGGGTACGCATACACACATTACCTCATTACCTAAATCATAAATGGGTTTGTGAAGCAGAGGCCACAAAGTCAGAAGAGCCTTCGCCCATGCTGTTGGGCACAGGGTGCAGCTCTGTCCCAAGTAATTAAAGCTGAATATCTACATCTGAACGTATTCTAGAATGTACTTCGGTCCCAGATCCTTCCAATTTGCCTAAAATGCAAATGGGGGAGTGGAGCTTTTTTATCTTGCCCAACTCCTCTTGGAAATGTAATGTATTGCATTTATACACTGCCTGTTATCTGAGGATTTCAAAATGCCCCGTGGATTTCATTGGACTGATTGTGTGCGGCTTTGCATCGGATTTAAACATCCTGACCCAGAGTGAGAAAATCAGTTGGTAAGGAAAGGAAGGCGCCTTCCATGGAGGGTTTGAAGACTCACAGGGTGGTTCTGTCGTGGGCGCTGCATTACCTGCACATCTCTGTCCTGTGGGTGCAGGGATCACTCCGTGGTCTCCTGGGATACAGAGGAGTCCCACTCTCTGTGTTGGTAAATATGCACCATTAGCAGCCTAAGCAGAGGTCTGCATTGTGTCAGTGCTCCTCTCTGAAGGGTCTCTGCACAAGTGCATGTAAAGGGACTCTTGTCTCCGGATTGGCTCCTGTTTTTGTCAAGGTTTCACCTACCTGTTCTACTTCAAAGCCCAGACAAGCAGAGATGCTGGCTGTTTGCAGGAGGGGCCCGTGGGCTCTCCCTGGCCAACAGAGCCACATCCACTGCCTGCAGTCAGCTGCTGTCCCTTTGGCGGCCCTTAGCATCACATCAGGAGGTCACTGAAGCCCCAAACATAATCTGTGCAATGGTTTTGTAGTGTAAGTCCTAAGTCAACTCAGATGAGAAATATGAAAACAGTCCAAAATCTGAAGGCTGTGGTTATTTTTCAGGTGTTTTCTGGGCTGAAGGGAGAACAGCTGCTAGGCCCAGATTGCGCCTGGATCCCTCAAAGAAAGCAAAGCACAGACTGTGGTCAGAGCAACCTGAAACGTTCAGAAGTGAACAAAGGTTGGCTTGAAATCTCTGCATCTACGAGTCTTGGTTTATATTTTGAAAATCAGGAAAAGATGAGCAGTGATTTTATTTCTTTTCCAATTGGGAAGTTTGAGAAATGCATCCTTGATCATTTTGGATTTCTTTGTTGACTAATAACCAATTATTTCTGCAGCTTGTTAAACCGTGATAATGCCATGAGTGATGCGGTCACGCGTCTAAGAGCCATTAGTGAGGTCTGTTTCAGCATTTCAGAAGCACAGGCTTTCTCTGAGCTCTGCTATATGGGAACTGTTGAGTCACGGCCTGACCCACGGCCTGAGCATCTGGGAAAGGACCGGGTCAGGCCTGGGAGCACAGGTGAAGGCAATGCAGCGGTGTGATCAGAAGGGGTGGAACCTGGCTGCACCTCTCCTAGACCTCATTTAAGGGCTGACTGGCAGTTGGGAAAGGTCTCTGGTTTTGCAGATTCATCCCTTGTGGAGCTTTTCCCCACGAGCTGAGATCTTTGAGACAGGTGAGCATTCTTTTCCTTTTGGTCATTTCACTCTGTATTGCCTTTGCACTGCGCTGATCATTCCAACTGTAACACTAGTGATAACAGGAATTAGAGTAATGCTCACGTACCAATGTTGAGTGTAAATTAGAGTCAAGAAGTGCACGCCTGAATGTGAAAATGTTGAGGAGTGACTTCGTTAAGCAAGGTAACATTCGCCATCTAGGGAGACACGCGAGCAATGCAGGGGAAGGCGTGAGTGAGGATGTGGGCAGCTGGAGCTGATGTGTGCCCGGAGCGGGGCAGCCACGGCCACCCTGCTTCATTAAAGCTCCTGCTTTGGTCCAGCAGGTCCTTTTTGGCCCAGACGGTCATTTTGTCATTGAAAGACAGCAGGAGGGCACCAGTGAGTCCTGCTGAGCAGGCTGTGCTCTGCCACTGCCTGACGGTGCCAAGCGGTGCTTGGATGCTGTGCTCGTGCTGCTGCATTCCCGATGGAGCAATGCACGTGCCTTGCTTTTGTTTTAATCATTCAGGTGAGAAAGTCCTTCCCTCTCACAGCACAGCAGTGAAGATAATGATGCTCAATCTTCTGAGGTCCGGGAGCAAAGCATGGGCACCAGCCACAGGGCATGGGAGCCTGGGGGCAGGATGGAAGGGCAGGGGCTGTCCCAGCACAGCTGAGTGAGGAGCATCTCAGGCTGTGGAGAGCACACTGCTGGAGCTGTGCTCTCCATGATCTCCATTTCTGGGAGCTGGTTTTAGCCTGATGCTTCTTCTTTATTCTCATCTATCCTGTCCTTTTCTTACAGTCTTGAAAAATAGACTAATCATCACTGAAATGCTGGGTCAGGGCGTGAAGACAAAAAAGTTTATTTCTACAGTAATAGCACACGTCCCAGTGGCAGGCTCGGCCCAGCCACAGCACATGCAGAAGTAATTTACTCGCTCATTCTGCCTCATTTTCTTGTCCTGAGTTGCCAGTATTCACTATTCTCTTCATCACAATGTGATTTCCACAGACAATTCTTGATCTGAAGTTCATTTGTAGTTCATCTTCAGAATTAATTTCTTTTTGTTGGACACGTTAATGGCGTATTACTTGTAATTCTTCTAATGAGGCTTCCAGCATTTGCAAACTCAAAATTGGCTTTAAGAAAATGTTCCCCACCTGTTTAAAATTGATTTACAGGAATGTCCTGGTGAACTGCTAAATATTCATGAGGAGTTGGTATAAAATACCTCTGAGTGGACAGAGGTGGCATCAGCAGGCATTGCGGGGAGCTGCTTCAGGCAGGAGGTGTGGGGAGCTGTGGGGCTGAGGGCCTGGCTGTTCTGCCCTGCCCAGGAGCACCATCCCAGCACACCCCAGTCCTGTACCTGCAATTTTTCTAGTCTTTGCTTAACTGGTGTTATATATAATTCCTCCTTTTTAATGGCAAAGAAGTCACACTTAGTTGGATCACAATGAAGAGCTCAAGATTGCAACGCTTTGGTTCTCCTCGCGTAGTCTTTTGTCTGTCATTGGTTTCATTTCAGTGGTGTAACGCAGAGGGAAGGTTGCCTATAAACCTGCTTTATTAAGAGGAAAATAAATCCTGATTCCTTTCTTCTCTGGATACAAGGGATGCGTGCAGGCTGTGGAAGATGCCAGCTGGGTCTGGATCTTTCTTCTTGCTCCTGTCTCACCTCCCAGCACCACAATGGAGGCACAGGTGGTGACTGGGAGTTATCTGTGCCCCTGTAGCTGCCAGGGGGCACCTGGCTTCCCTCTGGTTTTGCACCCATGGTTTTGCACAACTTTCATGGCTTCTGGAGTACTGCTTCATTTCATGCTTTCTTACCTTGCTCCATGATGTGCTGTAAAGTTCTGTCATCAGTAATTCCTGAGGAGTCTGCAGAGTTTCCTGTTTGACAAACTGTTCCCAAGTGTATGTGGTGAGTGCTTTTCCCTTCCTTGGTTTTCCCAATATCACACTCACTCTGGGCAGACTCATTTTTAAATGCCTCTAATTTTTATCTGTAGTTTCTCGTAAAATATTCCTATATTGATTTTTAAAGCCATTCTGCCAGAGATGTGGACTCCTCTGTATTTAATGAATTGTGAGGTAATGAACGACACTACTTCTCTATTGAACCTTCTTTCTTGATTTAAGTTTGAAATTAGAATCAATAATCCCTTGGTTATGAACACAGATATTGGACAGTAACATTTTTTTTGTGACTCCATGGACAGCAGAAGAGTTTGCTGCTCCGTAGGGACGCCAGCAGCAAACCTGGGGTTACTTCTGTCAAATTTCTCTCACCAATGTGTCTGCCTGAGTATAAAGGCCTTGCTTATAACACATGGCCCACAGCACCACCTCCTATGGCAAAGAGCCCCCTGGAGACGCAAGGCAAAGGTCTCATCAAGACCTGATCCAGTGTCCCAGCTCTGAGGAGCCAGGGGTTCCTGGTTGCATTCACACCTCTCCCAGAGCCACCCAGCAGGAGGGTGCCAAAACAGCACTGTGTCCTTGGCTCTTTTCCTGTAGCAATAATTCTCCCATCGTGCAGAAGCTGATGGGGCACAGCTTGCCATGCTGGTGCCAGAGCTGCAGTTCCTGAGCCCTGCTGCAGTGAGAAGTGCAGCCTCTGCAGCCAGCAGGAACACGGGGCTCAGTGTGATTTGGTGCTGTGACATCCCAGGTTTGTCCCTGACGGAGGCTGCAGATGTTGAAGTGGTGTTCGATTCCTCGGCCGCCAGCAGCCAGCGGGAACTTTGCTCCAGTAAAAACAAAGTGAGTCTGTCCCTAATCCGCCCTCATGCTGTGAGAGAGCTGAGGCTCAAGGGGATTTGCAGCACGTTTCTGAGGATGGAACGCTGGTGATTAACATTCATGCCAGGGCTGCTCCTTCTGCACTTTTGATTTGAGTCGCACAAAACAGGGGGAAGCACCAGGCCCACAGATGGTGGGGCACTGCAGCCTGGGGATGCACTGCTGGGTTCTGCTCGTGGGATTGCATTGCAGATCTTTAAGTGTGCACATTGCAATGAACTTTGTAAGAATAATCACAGATTGGCAAAGAACTGACAGATCTCTGGCAAGGGAAAGGCTTGCTGGAGGTCATTGTACCACCCCATCATGCCATAGGTGTCAAAACAGATTGTGTTTTCTGGAGGAGAGCTGTGTGAGCTTGTATTGCCCCAATTTTTAGAAGAAAGAATACAGAGAAAGTGAGAACACCACCAAGGCTCCTCCCAGCCTGCAGTGCCAGCCCTGCACCTGGGCAGCAGCTGAACTCCCTGGTGTGGGCAGTGGGTCCCCAGGGAAATGCAGCCTTTGTCGATTCATGCCAGTGATGTTCCAAAAGCAGAACCAGGTCTGCCTGCACAGCAGGGATGTTTCTTCAGAAAAACCTGACAGTGGCATTTCACACAGCAGCCCATCCTCCAAAGAGCTTTTACTCGTGTTTTAACCTGGCTGTAATCTGATTGTACTTAGTTAAAATAAGTAAGGACAGATCAATTGGAATTTTGATTGAGAAAGAACTGAAAGGTTTGGCTCAGATTTTGGCTCAGAAGATGGAAAATCTGAGTATATGACAACTTAATGCAGAGACCTCGCCTTAGATAGTAATGAAAAAACATCCTGTAGGAGAGACTGGGTGATTCTTTACATGTTTCTTTTTCACTCCTCAGAGAACAATCTCTGCCCCTTAAAAACAGAAGAGAGGAGAAACGTTCCCATAGTGGTGATCCAGCTGGGCGCAGCACTGACCACGCACAGCCCCAGGCATTGCAGGGAGTGCAGCAGAGCTCCCTGCAGGCACACAGTGTGCCTGATCTGCTCTTCCTGAGGGAAACCTGCTTCTTTATCAGCCCCCTCTGATGCGATTTGGAAAAGCTGACAGAGAGGAGATGGGGGAGCTTCACAAGTGATTCATTTTTATTTTGGCTTCCCAGAGTGATGTCACACATGGTGACAGGCTTAGGGAAATATGAAGCGTGAGACACCCACTGCGAAATGCAGGAGGAAGTTACTATTCCTGCCACTAACCATCTGTAAATATTAGATGGGCTTTACAAGTATTTTCCTAGATGCTGATCAAAATCAGAGCTTGAAACGTTTACAGGAAGGAGAAGGGAGGGAGGAATGAAGGAAAGGAGAAGCAAGGAACTCTTACTGGAAACTTTTCAATATTTCTTTGAAAAGCAAATGTGTTTCATTTAGACTTTTATGCCACCTCTAAAACCAAAATGGCATCAGCCATTCTAGAATGTCTTGCTTCTTTTGCTTTCCACTGCAAACTGATTAGATGGTTGTTCACACCCTTGATTTTACTTATGTTAGTAAAATTTGGTTGTGAATCCTTGAAATGTGATTTTGCCCATTGAGAAGTGGCCAATGGTCACTGAAATGAAGCCCCAGTCCTGGTGCGCCCTGCTTGCCTTCCTGGGGGTCTGATTTCATTCCCTGGGCCTGCAGTGTTAGTTATGCATTGAGTCCCTTTCTTACCAGGCATGTGGATCCCACCCTCCAACTTGCTCTTTTCCTGTCCCTCAGAGAAGCTTACAATTTGAACAGCATTGATATAGCAAAGCATTTGTGTCCCCCAAAGCCAAGATTGTCTAAAAAAGTTAATGCCCGGATAATAGGAGGAAGAATGCAGCATCAGTTCTGCGATAGAGTATTCAGATATATACCAATAGACATGAAAGAAACGCTTAAAGAGTCAGGCAGATTAATGTAGAGATGATATCTACGTTTGGAATACCTGAATTGGGTTAATCTTATCTCTTATTAAAATTCTCTGTTGAATTTATCTATTAATAATTAACTCTTGACAAGAGACATCTTTCTACATGAGTAGGTTCTGGCTAATGTGACACTCATTAAGGGTGTGAACAGGGAGAGCAGATCCGGCTCCTGCAGGGCTGAATGCTGCCTGCCCTGTGCTCTGTTCCTACACCTGCTCTTACATGCAGTAGCCAGGCCTAAATTTGGGGAATCCAGCTGTCATAGTGAAAGCACATCCATTCCAGAGCTCTCCTGTATGTGGTGTCTGTGTTCCATTGCTGGATGGCTAAGGAAAGAACCATATAACTGTGCTGGTTAGGTGCTATCCCCTCCAATCTCAGCTGATAGGCAACAGCATCCTGCTTACAGGCGATCCATTTGAATGCTGCAGTGTGTGTGATTTTAATGGATGGAGACAACACATAAGCTCTGAGGAAAGGTACATTTCGCTCTGAAGAATGCCAGCTAGCCCCCAAGGGCAGGGAGCAGAGTTTTACACCTAACTGATGCAAAGAGTTGTATACTGCCCTATTAAATGCAGGAGAGAAAATGTTTCCAGATTGTCCTCTCCTTAACGAGGGACCAGAAAAAGTTTCAGGTTGATCTCTGGTATGACAGGGCTGTTCAGGGCAGCCATAATATGCACACTGCTGTCAGGTAACATCTCTCTTCCAGCAGAGAAATATTCAGCCCTGGGCCCTTGTACACAGGACTGATTACTTGTTTTCTTCTCATTTCTGTACAACGAGGTCTGGGACACTGGATTATTTCAGCTGCTTATCCCATATCCCACTGTGACCAAAGGCCAGCAGAGGGTGTCCCCAGCTGAGAGTAGAGGCTGGATGTAAAGCAGACATCTATCACAGTGGCACTAGAAGCCTGGGGCTGTGCAGGAAGAAGTCAGGGCACAGGAATCAACAGCAGGACTCACTGGGAAGGGCCTCTCATCTCTACAGAAGCCCTTCTGCAATGCTGCACTGCGCCCAGCCAGGCGCCACTTCTGTGCTCCAGAAGGAAGAAGGATGGGTGAGCATCGATCTGAGCTGCTGGCTGCTGCTGGGCCTTGTCCCGCTGCTGGCAGTGCTGCGCAAAGCTGTCTCCTCCAGGGCTGCTCTGAGGTGAGCTCCCAGTTCAGTGAGTTCCCACCTTCCTTTCTTCACACTTCTCCCTTTTTAAAATCAGTCGTGATCTCAGAAGTGGGGCCGGGCAGCAGCAGAGCGCTGCAGTGCTTTGCTGTGCAGATCCCCCAGCAGAGGACCTGCAGTCCTGCTCTGCTGCTGGTAGGAAATCAGCTCAATTCCTGGCATTCCAGCTTGGCCTGGCTATGCAGCTTTTACTCACTGCTGCTTTCTTAATTAGACTGCAATCCCTTACAGGCAGGACATTAATGTATCGTGTTATATTTTGCATTTATTTGTTTTTGCTGCTTGAAAAATCAAAACAACGTGTAGCTGAAGGACAGACTGTATAGGTTCCTAATTCTTGCTCCCGCTTCAGTGCCCTCTCTTAGGCATTCTCTAAATTAATTCTTTATTCTTTATCCAGCAATGATCAAACACAGGTGTTTCATGGAGCAAACCCTGCAGCAGACAGCTGGAGCTTGACCTTCCTTTCATGTCAATAGGAAAACTCTCAGAACTGAGCATAAGCCAGTCTGTATGTAAACTCCCTCATTAGTCTTCAACAATTAGAGGCTGATAGATGGCCTGAAGGGTGAGATACCCCACCTATTAGTGGGGCTGCTCTGAACACAACCCTCCTCCTTAGCCCTGAGCGCCTGGTGGAAATAGGACAGGTGATCCTGCAAGAAAAGTCAGTGCTGTTACAATTCAGTTGTTTTCCTTTAGAGTTATTATGTATCTTCTTTTACACTTCACAAGTATTTGGAAAACAAGAACATTTAGCTTTTAACTAAATTGCACCAGAACAAATATTTTTATTGCTGCACTGAAAGCTGTGGGTCTGCCCAAGCCAAATTCCATTTAATGTTTCTTTAACGACCTCTGAGACAGCTTAGCCACGTTCTGATGAGTGTTCAAGTGAGATGGCATTTGTTAGGTGGCAGCTGTTTAAGTCCAGCATGACTTTGCTACTCCAACCACAAGTGTTAACATCGCCCTGGGTACCAAGGCAGCTGATCCTGGTTTCTCTGCTTACAACAAAAAGTAATGGCACTGGAGAATGAGGCGGCAGGGAAGTTCAAGCAGTTGTGCCAGCACTGCTCAGGATGCCTGCAGATCTTCGTGCTGCAGTATTGCCTTTGTGGGCAGCTCCGAGATGGGTACGTGAGAGTGGCTCCCGCTGAACCACTTGAATATAGATGCAGCTGGGTTTCTGAATTCACATTCAAGTCTTCCCCTTCATTTTGTATGGCTGAGGAAATTCTAGAACGCTCAGATGCATTTTCTGATAAGTCTGAGTTCCACTGAGACAGAAATCGCTCTAACCCACAAAATCAAGAAGGCGTTTCAGTTTAATGTATGAACTTGGCTTCTCCCTTTCTGTGAGAGGACTGCGATCTCCCAGGGCAGCTCTGGGACAACATCCTCAACACCGGGCTGCTTTCATTCTCAGAAACCGAGCAGGATTACAGAAAGGAACACAGTCACTGGGAGAAGTGGCACTACGAACTGACTTTGCTGTAGTTGTGGAGACTCAGTACTGCACAAAAGTGCATCCCTTTAATGGATGACTTTTCAGAGCCAAGATGAGAAGGACAATACAGTTGAGTGAGGTGGGAAGGATGTACGGGCTTTTCCCCTTGAAAGTACAGCTTAGAAAATGTCAGCAGTGGGCACTGCTGCGTTGTGAATAGAGATGTAGTGGATACCTTCTGTGATTTCTGAGGACAAACAGTGCTGTTGGCTCATCGTGGTGCAATTCTGGAGTTCGGAAGGAAAAACGAAGGAATGTTAACTAGATTATTTCTGCTACTAATTCTGCTAACGAAGGGAGCAGTGGGGGTGCAGCTGTGGGCTGAAGCAGTCGGTGCTGAGGATGCTCCACGCTCTTTGCCTGCACGCACGGGGCTCTGGGTGCTCTGCAGGCCAGCACAGCAGCAGTTGGAGCACGAGGATGCTTCTGGTTTAGCTTTGTCTGAAAGTGCCTGACGCTGCTTTTCAACACCGCTCCACAATGCAAATGTGAAGGGACAGTGGAAATGGCACGGAGCCTCCCTTCGGGCTGACGGCTCTGTCCCCAGCGCTGCCGACGCCCGGCCGAGGAAGGAGCTCCGCTCCGGGCCCCACCAGGTGGCACTGCGGTAAAGCGCTGCCGCAAGGAAGGCGTGCGGCCATCCGCCACGGCCCTGCGCGAGGAATAAATGCCGAGCACTCAGGGATCTGTAGAGCTGGGAAGGTAGGTGGCATTTATGGCAAGAGTATTGATCTCCAATGGAACGAGTCTATAATGAATGGCATTTCAGAGGATCTGGCTGTTACTACGGCTGTGAAAAGTTCATTTAGAGCTAACGGATATGGCTGTAACGATACATCTGAAGAGCTAGAACTAATGAAGAAGCCTCCAGTGCTACTGAAGTACTTAGGAATAAAGCCTTATTACTCGACAAAAAGCTGTGACACCACGGTTAGAAACTCACAGCATCACAAGCGATTCTGTGCAGGTGGAGCCTTCACGGTCCTCAGGGAAGGGCCAATGTGTGAGGCTCAGCTCAGCCAAGCTGCTTTGTTTCCTCGGACCAACGCTTCGTTCCCAGTCAGGCAAGTTCCCTTTGTGGTAGACTGTTCTGTGTTTCTCAGGAATGAAAGCAAAACCACTTATTTTTATTGTAAATCATATTTAAAAAGCCATAATGCTAACGTGAGCCATCTGAAATTGACACCAATTTGCCTTCACAATAGCAGGATAATTAATATCAGTGTTTATGTAGTATCTCTCCTTGCACAAGATCCCCCAGGAGTTTGCAGATAACAGCCTGCAGAAGCTATTGTAGCCATCATACAAAACATCTGGTCCACACCAGTTTAAAAATCCCATTTTAATTTCAACTCTGCTTCCCCCTAAAGTCAATGGACTGCTTTGCCTT